ATCAAAAAAAAATGTAAAAGAAGAATACCATCATCCTTAACTATCATTATATATATATATATATACATATATATACATATATATATGTATATATATATATATATAATTTTGCACATATGTATACATATATAATTTGTTTATTATATATAGTAAAGTGTGTAATACCTATGTAGGCTATGCATGTCCATATGGATTATCTCGATATATAGAAGCATGGCTCTCAGGAGATATGGATAGATATGATCTGAGGTCAAAACTCCCATGAGGAGAAGAGGAGAGTCTGGGAGTAGTGCCTGTATTCCTTCCTGCATGCTGGGAAGAGTCAGGCAGGTCCCAGGAGTCCTATAAGCTGGGACTTCTTTTCTTTAATCTTGAGAGGGGTAGCAGAATAGAATTATTTCTATCTACCTCCCCAAAATATTGTTCAAACCAAGAGAGACGCCTCAATCTTTTCCAAAGGAAAAGTCTCCAAAGCTTCTAGGGAGACAGGTTAGAAATCAGGTACATGTTGATGAGTTAGCTTCCACATATCTGCAGCTTCCAAAATCTTTACCCTTCCTCTCTGGAGCTGCCCGTGGTGAAAGTCTAGAGTTACATGTGTCTCTCTTCCAAGCAACTTAACCAACTTAGCCTTCATACAACCACATAGCAAGATGTCAGCATTCTCTTTAGGAGAATTAGGACATGCAAAATAGCTTAAGCTTGGAAACCAGAGCCACACTTATATTCATGTATTTGTTTGCATGTCTTACTCCCATGAGCTACTTCAGGGAAGTGACTATCTCATGTCTGCCTTTGTATTCCAAGTACCTAATGTCTGGGGCGTATAGGGTATTCAAGAAGGACTAAGCAGGTCTGGTGTGAGAGCTTGCTGAGCCTTCTCAGTGGTGCTTATCCACCTTTGGTGTCTACTTGTTACCCAACGCTTACCTGTGGCTCCAAGTAGCCATAGCATGCACAGCAGCCACACCTGGGTAAAACCATCTTGGCTGACAGGCGAAAAGGGGTTTATGATAACCAGTAGGCCTCAGATCCGTCAGCAAGTTAATGGAGTGTCTACTCCAAGCATGTGAAGACTTCCTTCAGCAGAATGGGCAGACAAGAACAATTTGTTCCAACAGCCATAAAGGTGGCTGAAGCGGGTGCTGTGGAGTGCTTAGCTTGGTCAGACATAGAAGATGCCAAGGTCACCTGCTACATCCTGGGCCATTGCCAGTTATCTTGACTTTTGTCCTGCCTCTGGACTTTGATGACTCAGGAAGAAAGAGTGAAGCTGATGACTTTGCACATGTATGACTCACTTAAATCTCATTCATGCAGAAGTCAAGACATCACCCAGTGATGTCATAGTCCCTTTTGAAAATGAAGTACAAACAACCTGTTCTAATATTAACAACATTATCCTTCAACCAATCCTTAACCCATGAACACAAGGCCCTTCATGACTCTGGTTACTGTCCTCTGCTCATGTGAGAGGGGTTATGAGACTAAGCAAGTTTCTAGGCTACTTCTGATGACAGATGTAGGTGCTTTGGCCTCTGGCTAAGGGTCATGAGTGACCAGAGGATCTCAACTGGTTTCTGGATCCCTGTGATGGGGGTGGGTGGGTAGAGAGAGAGCTAAGAATTCACCAGTTCTGATGATACATACATGCTCTGACTTCTTGCTGCAGAACAAGCATAAACAGAGGTTCCTGGCTGGTCCTTGGACCCTATGACTGATAGGAAGAGGGAGGATTGTACCAAAGGCAATTGGTCAAAGAACCAGGAGGAATTATTCACCCAGTAGGCTTCAAAGGCAAAACAACTTCTGCTGCTGCCTCTTCTTTGCATTTCTTTTCCTGAGCCGAGGTAACCATATTACAATCCTATGATGAGTATTTCTTTCCTAGATGGCAATCTTGTGAGAACAACAGGTCAAGAGCCCTTGGACCCAGGTGCCAATTGCTCTTCAGGAGATGATCTCTGCAACAACTTTCTTGGAGGAGATGAACACCACCAGAATGATACTAGGACTGAGATGATAAGACTTAAAAAGACTGAGCCATGAATTGCCTTGCCAGGAGGAAGGAAGGAAATATTCATTAACTACCTACTATATGCCAGGCACTCTGCTAAGCACTTCACAAATGTTATCTCAATTGATCCTCACAACAACCCTGGAAGATAGGTACTGTTATTATCCCCATTTTACAGATGATGAAACTGAGGCAGACAGAGGTTAAGTGACTTGCCCAGGGTCACATAGCTAATAAGTGTACAAAGTCAAATTTAAACTCCCATCTTCCTGACTCCAGACCCAGCACTTGATCTACTAGGCCACATAGCTGCCTAGGAGATTCCAACTTATGATCTACACAGACCTCAAAGGTCTGAGATAAAAATAAAATATCTGTTCAGTACTCACACAGGTCTCCCAGGAGTCTTTACCTCCCAGAAGAGTGCTATATAGTAGGAATGATAAGTAACTGTTTTATAATTTAAGTATTTGTCAATTTTTTATTTGAGCCTTTCATATTTTAAGCATTTCCTTTGTAGCAGAGAAAATAAATAGTTCTTATAATGTATGTCTGACATCTATTACTTTCTTACATTGCATAACTTTCCTGGTAGGGAACCTGTTAATTCCTTTAAGTGAAAACCTAGACATGATTCCAACCTAAGCTTTAACAGATTTCCTTCAGACTCCAGGGTTGGGACATAATGAATCAGAATGCTTAAGGGGAAAAAAAAAGACTACTTTCTTTGAAGTTTAGGACTCTCCCACCCCCTGGAATGAAATTGTAGACTGAACCACAATTCACTCATTCTCCAGTCATTGGATACACATACTGTTTCAAGTTTTGTGCAACTAGAAATATAGGGAGTGTGCCCAGGAGGACCTTGGTCAAGGTTAACTCTTTGTTAACCAGGTTAGCGAGGTCAAAGGATGAAACTTTTTTTTTTTTGTGACTGAAGGTGCTGTGATACACCCAGACCCATAAAGCCAGTTCATGGTCTTGGGTTACACATTTGGATTTGGTCTTTAAAATGGAGATAAACATTCAGAAAGCTGAAAGACACTGGAGGAGAAGGAGGAGAGAGATTACAATTACTCAGCTCAGTTCTCTAGAAGAGAAGCTTCAGCATCTCGATACCCTTATAAGGAACCATATAAAGATGATCAAGGGCACAGCTATGTGGTACAATGGATAGAGCACCAGCCCTGGAGTCAGGAGGACCTGAGTTCAAATCCGTCCTCAGACACATAACATTCACTATCTATGTGACTCTGGGCAAGTTACTTAATCACAATCGCCTCACCAAAAAGAAAGAAAGAAAGAAAGAAAGAAAGAAAAAGAAAGAAAGAAAGAAAGAAAGAAAGAAAGAAAGAAAGAAAGAAAGGAAGAAAGAAAGAAAGAAAGAAAGAAAGAAAAAAAATGATCAAGGAGGGACATCTAGGTGGTACAATGAATAGAATGTCAGGCCTGGAGTCAGGAAGGCTCTTCTTCCTGAGTTCAAATCTGGCTTCAGATGCTTACTAGTTGTGTGATCCTGGGCAAGTCACTTAACCCTGTTTGCCTCAGTTTCCTCATCTGTAAAATCAGCTGGAGAAGGAAATGACAAACCATTCTAGTATCTTTGCCAAGAAAACCCCAAATGGGGTTACAAAGAGTGGGACACAATTGAAACAACTGAAAACAACAACACAACGTCTCTTCTAGCTCTAAATCAATCATTCTATAATCACATGCAATTCCTGTTCTAAGGTATTTTCCTTATAATTATTACCTTCAAAGCTTTTATTTCATTTTTTATATTTTGTAACATATCTTCCAGGTATTAAAGTAGTATTTGTGGAAAATAATTGTTTCCTTTGACTCTTTGCCTGCATTGTTATAATTACTCTCCTCTTGGTTGGATATTTGGCTCTCTCAGCATCTATAATAATTCTTTATAGTAGGCAGTGTATTCTTCTGTTTACTCATATGTCCAGCTCTAGTTCCTGAATTGGAGCTTCATGTCTGGGTCAGGTTCTACTTTCTAGTGAACTTTGGGTGGGGTGGTTAACCCTGCCTGGTCTCCACCTGGGTTGCCTGGGGTCTTCCAACTCCTGTGGTGTGTTTATGCTAAGAGCACTGGTAATTGTAACCCACCTCACCTTGATTTTGGTGGTTCAGAGTTCTGGTTCTTCAGGGCTCTCTGGGGTTCCTCTGGATAGAGTGCTGTAGGTAGATCTCAGTTTCTGGGCCTCGGGTGTCCCAGCCCGAGTGTTGTTTGTTATTCCCAAGATGGATATTATTGGTGTCTGACCACCCTGATCCACATTTGTAGCTTCTGAATATAGAACCTTGCAGGCTGTGAGAGTTTCAGGCCTGTCTCTGCTCATTCTAAGAAGCTACCATCTTGTCTGCTATACTTGGCTAAGTCTCCTTTCCTATTGCTTATAGTCTTGTGGATGACTTTTTGCATAATTCTGAGACAGCTGAAATAATTTGCTAGAGTTTCTCATTGGATTCCTTGATCATTATTCGTTCTGATGTTTTTAGTTTTTTCTGCAGTAGGTATTTGGAAAGTGGTCTTCCTGTCACTATTCAAGCAGTGATCTTAGCCATAAGTCCTAAAATAAACTATATGGAAGACATTCATGTTATAGTATATCTTGGAAGTAATCCAATTGCAGAAATTAATATCTGTGCACCCTTAGGAATGCACAGTTTGGTTGTACTTTCCCTTAGTTATTTCCCACTAAGAACTGAGTCTGTTTTGGGTAGGGAAGGCTGAGAATCTCCGATGTTAGTGCAAACACTGGATTCTAATTCTGAGCTTGAGAGTTGATTCCTTATCCTCAATCTTTGCTTTTTTTTCCCCCCTACTGATGCTTCCTTTCTTCCTTTTCTCCCCACTCCCCTCCTCTGCATCTACACACATATCAGAGACAAGTCCCTTCCAAGTCTCTAGTGTCCAAGGGTTAAAGATGAATGACTTAATAATTAAAATGTTAGTAAAAAATTCCTTCTGCTGGATGCTGACAGCTTTAATTCATATTTAAACTTGAGAAATAATCTCCACAGAGATTCAAAGTTTTAGGCATTTTGAAATCAAATTACATTAGAAATAAAGATCTCAAAACCTGATAAAATGAAATATGACTACTTATTTAAAAATTCAAAAACTTCATTGAACTCTATTTATCTTCAGTTTCACATGTCCAGTAGAGACTACGTTGGAACTGAAAAACCCCAAATTAGATTAGTATAATTTAGACCTGTTAATTGACTACATGCTAAGGAACAAAAACATATGAACACATGCACAAATGGAGAAAGCTGTCTCTTTATAGACTATAGTGTATTAAAAATAATAATTAATAAAAGAAATAAGAACCAAAAGTGCAGACTAACATGTAGACTAAACAATGATATCCTAAATAATGAACTGATCAAAAAAAATCATAGAAACAATAAACTTAAAATTGTATTAGAGGAAATTATAACAATGAATTAACATACCAAAACATGTGGGACAAGGCTAAAGTGGTCTCACAGGAAAATTAATATCTCAAAACATTTGTATTAATCTAACTTAGAGGATAGAGGTAATCACTACTAGGACTCATAGGGATTAAGGATACTTTAAAGCTCTATACCCAGCCTTGCAATTGTGTATTGCACTCACTGCTCTGGGGTTGCCTGACTTTTCTACAGGGGAAGAAGACTCCAATTTCACATTCACTCAAACCTGGCAACTCTAGGGAAGGTTGTTGGCTATGAAGTTGTTGTGGTTATGGCCTCACATGCTAAGGTTTTCTCTAGCAAGGAGGAGAGGAGAGTAAAAATGGTACCAAAAGTACAAACATGATTGAAGTATGGATAGGCAGTTTGTTCCCACCCAGAAAAGGAAATCTTAGCTAAATAAAGCATCATAGATTTGTTAAAAGAGAATACACCAACTTATTATTACTAGTACCTTCAGTTCAGAGGTGAATACTTAAGACTCATTTAAACATAGTAGTATTTCCAAGGCTATTAAGTAGCACTTTTAGATTTCACCTCTGCACTGGAATTGTCTGGTCAAACAGCCAAGTGGCATTTTCTTTTGGACAGCCTCCTGCTCTAATGCCAACACTTCTTATGCCAATGCTTTCCTTATCACAAACCCAAACCTGTTAGTGCTAAATGGGTCCAGATCATTCTATCTTTACAAGGTCAATGCTAGAGCAAAGGAGTAACAAAAGAAGAAGCAAAATATCTGGGAACCTCTGATCCAAGCCCAGCTAACTGAGTCCATGCTTCATATCAGGAGCGGTGGTTCAATGGTCTCTGTCTCCCCTTTATGCCAAGGAGAGGAAAGCCCCTTCCTTCTTCCAACTCTGATTGGCATCACATCTCATATTCTCAAAAGCTATCTTCCAGAGACCTGTCAGGCAAGAGCCAAATTTTTCTTTTCTGGGTGTAGTACCCTGCACCATTGACATTTCTTGTTCAGCGACCTTTCAGGAAGATTCAATACATTAATGAGTCATATAGAGTTGAAAGCAGAGTATATTTGCACATGCTCCAAGGAGAGAGGAGAGAATCTGTAAGATTAACAAAAGAGAAAAGGAGAACACTAATGAATTGAGTGCATAATTTAAAAAGACCCTAGAAAACCAACAAATTGATCTCAAAATATCATAAAAGAGAAAAAACTTAAGTATAAAGGTGGAATAAGCAGAATGAAAAATTAAGAGTACAATAAAGAGCTGCTTTTAAAATAGCAACAAAATCAATAAATTGTAGTTTGATTTTTAAAAATTGATTTTAAAAAATGAGAAAGTAACCCAAACAAAAAGAATGAAAAATAAGAAAGGGATAATTTACAACAAATGGAAAGGAAATAAAGAAAATTATCAGAAACTATCCCAAACTGATGCCCATCAATTAGGGAATGGCTGAACAAGTTGTGGTATATGAATATAATGAAATACCATTGTGCTATAAAAAATGATGAGCAGGTGGACTTCAGAAAAACCTGGAAAGACTTACATGAATTGATGCTGAGTGAAGTGAGCAGAACCAAGAGAACATCGTACATAGTAAAGCAACATTGTGTGAAAACTAACTTTGATAGACTTAGCTCTTCTCAGCAATACAAGGATCTAAGACAACTCCAAAAGACTCATGGTAGAAAATGCTATCCACATCCAGAAAAAGAACTATGGAGTCTGAATGCAGATCAAAGCATACCATTTGCGCTCTCTCTCTCTCTCTCTCTCTCTCTCTCTCTCTCTCTCTCTCTCTCTCTCTCTCTCTCTCTCTCTCTCTCTCTCTCTCTTTCTCTTTCTCTCTCTCTTTTTGTTTCTTCTTTCTTGTGGTTTCTCCCATTGGTTCTAATTCTTCTTTACAACATGACTAATGTGAAAATATATTTAATATGAATATATATATACAGACTATATCAGATTGCATGCCTTCTTAGGGAGAGAGGAGGGAAGACAGGGAGAGAAAATTTAGAGCTCAAAATCTTATAGAAGTGAATATTGAAAACTAAACATAAATAAATAAAATTTTAAAAATTACATGGCAATAAAAATTAAAATCTAAATTAAATGCAGATCTACAAAATTATAACATGCTAAAATTAAAGTAACAGAAAATAGATAAACTAAATAACATAATTTCAGAATGTAAAATTGGGTGAGCCATAGATAAATCTGATTAAAAAATCCAAGTCTAGACAGATTTATGAATGAATTATATTTTTATCAAACATTTAAAGAATGAAATTCTCTGCTGCATGCATTTTTTAAATACAGAGAAATTAGGCATACACTAAGCTTTCTCTATGAGACAAATATGATTGTTATCCCCACACCACGAAGGATAGAGTGCAGAAAGAGAATTATAGACAAGTATCACAAATAATTATTGATTCAAATGATATCAATAACATACTGGAAAAGAGATTATAGCAAATATTTTTAAAAAACCATTATGACCAAGTTGGATTTACACTAGAAATACAAGAATGATTTAGCATTGGAAAACCATAATTATATTAATGTCAGGAACAACAACAACAAAAAGCAAATGGTTATGTCAATAAGTGTAGAAAAAGTGATTGATAAAATACATTACTATTAGTGAAATACACAATAACAATAAGAATATAAATGAAAAGATTACTAAAAGGAAGTTGTACTTTGAGCAATAGAAAAACCAGCGAAGATCCAGAGAAGAAATAACAAAGTATACTTCCTCTCTCATGGCAGAGAGGTGGAGTACTAATAGGACAGAAAATTGTATCCAGTGTCAGACATGGGTTCTATATTGTTTATTTTTTAAAATTGTTTTCCTTTGTTACAAAGGAAGATTGAATCTGGAAGAGAAGTGTGGAAATAACTATAATGCAAATGCAAAAGGCATAAAAAAAAATACAGTTGTTTTGAAGAAAAGGAAGATAAAATACAGCACTTGTGTTAAAAACAAAAACACTGACTTCCTGCCAAGATCTGAATAGGAGCTGCCTGTTTTCATACCTACTCAAACAAAACCCTGAAGTTCACACCAGACTGAATAATGATCAAGAAATATAATGAAAAATAATAGAAATTACTTCTTCAACCCCAGAAACACAGAAAAAGTCATCTGGGCCCTTCCCCCATCTTCTTTTTTTTTTTTTTGAGAGCCCAGGGTTTCCATGAGAAAGCCCAGGAGAAGTCAGAAAGTCCCAAGGAGGAGAACTCAATTGTGCAGCACAGCACAGTGCAGCTGTACTCTAAACCCTGATAGCCAGGCTCCTAAGATCCAGCACTCAGAATCACAATGATCCTGGAGGGCTAAACCTCAGGAGGTGGAGAACAACTAGGGTCCCAGTGTTTCACCAAAGAGGGCTGACCATGTCATCTGAAAGTGCAGCAGAGGGTGGAGCCTAACACAAAGCTCTAATTGAGGCACTAAAGCTGGAGATATAAACAAAGAAAAAACTAGTTAGTATCAAAAAATTATTGCAAACTTATATAGCAACTACAAGCAGAAATTCAAAGGCAGAAAAGGACTTTTTATACAAGGACCATATGAATACCTGGAAGAAATGAAGCAAGAGCTGAACAATGAAATAAAAAATCTTGAAAAAAGAATTAGAAGGAGAATAAATAGCTTAGCAGAGAAAGTGGTAAACCTTACCAACCTAACGGTCTTCTGAAAGCTAGAAATGACCCAACAGAAATCAGTGATTCTATGAGACAACAGGAAATACTAGAACAAAACCAAAAGATTAAAAAAATAGAACAAAACATAAGAAATCTGATATCAAGAACAACTGGCTTGGAAAAACAGATCAGAGATAGAGAATTTAAAAATCATTGAAATCCCTGAAAACCATGATTTAAGAAAAAAAAACAAGCCTGGATGCTATTTTAAAAATCATAGGTGAAAACTGCCTAGATCAATTAGAACCACAGGGCAAAGATAGAAAGAATCCCTCCTGAAAAGAAACCCCAAAATAAATGTGTCAAGAATGGTATATTCAAAACCCAAAGCTTCTTCAAAGTAAAAACAGTCTACAAAATAGCCAGAAAAAAAAGGGGTTTAAATACCAAGGAACTATATAGTCAGGATCACACAAGACTTTTCAGCTTCTATTTTAAAGCAGAGGAGAGCTTGGAAAACAATATTCCCAAAGGCTAAAAGCATAAGCTTACAACCAAAAGCAACTTACTCTGTAAAGCTGAGTATAATCCTACTGAGTAAAAATTGGACTTTTATTAAAATAAGAGATCCTCAAGCATTTCTGATGGAAAGACCAGAGCTAAGTAAGAACTTTGAAATATAAACACAAGGTGGCAGCTAGGTTACACAGTGGATAGTGCATTGGCCCTGAAGTCAGGAGAACCTGAGTTCAAATCCGACCTCAGACCAAACATTTGACACTTACTAGCTGTGTGACCCTGGGCAAGTCACTTAACCTCAATTGCCTAAAAAAGAAAAAAAAAGAAATATAAGCACGAGTACATATAAACCTAGAAAGTTAAATTTATTTGAGTAATTAGAAACACCTGTATGATGATAATATAATAATGTTAATGGGGGGAGAGGATCCAAGTATTCCTTCCGAATATTTTCAAAGGGTATTAAGGAAGTTAAATAAGAAAAATGGAGGTCCTGAGGGTAAACTGGTTCTATTCTAAGGGGAATGGGGAAAGAGGATAAAAGGTTAAATACAATAGAATAGCAAAGAGAAAGAAGGTGGTGGAACTTCCTGTTTCTTATAATTGGTGTGCATGAGGTGAAATGTATATAAACATGGAGGGAGTAGTGGGCATCAGATGAAACTCAGTCATCTGAAATAGTCAAAGGAATTTGTTGTAGCAACATATCAGATTCAACAGCAAAACAATCAGAAACAGAGAGAGGTGTGTTAGAGACAGGGTAACAACGAACCAGGAATAGTCATAGGCAAAACAAACTTCTGGATCCTGAAGGGGGGCTTAACAGGAGGGGAGGGTGTGTGAAAAAAGAACTAGAACATAAAGAGGTTACTTTAGATTATCTCTCAGATAATTAGGGGATAGATGAACCAACCAGTGTATATAAAATGTGTAATGAAAATTTTCTGGACTCCTTATCTCAGATCAACACTTCTACCTTAGAGTTTTATGGGTACCCTGAATAGTTGGGGTGTCTCTTATCTGACGCTATCACTTAAGCTCCCAGTGATTGTTTCCGACCTCTACTAGAGGGGTTAGTAATACTGATACTGAGAGAATATTGATACTGAAAGAGAGAGAGACAGAGACAAAGAGAACTATAACAACACTTTGTGAAAATGTGCAGAAAAAAGGAGAAGGAAGTACAGAGAAGCTGGACAGTTTTTAAAGTAATGTATAGAGTTTACACTGTCTGTATGTGTGTGTGTGTGTGTGTGTGTGTGTGTGTGTGTGTGTGTGTGTAATATTTTAAAAATCAGTGTTGTGAAATGGGAAATTCGTGATTTCACATAAAATCCTCTCTATGTTCTTCTGTGTATATAGAAATGCTCTCTCTTATTAGTGTTTAAGTTCAGAATAAAAAAAGTTAATTTTAAAAAAGAAAAGAATACTGAAAGGTATAGGAATTTAAGAAATTTTCCTAACATGATCAAAATTATTTATCTAAATCCAAGAGCTGGCATGGAATATTACATGTATTGATGTACCTAGACTATTTTCTTTTTTTTCCTTATAAGAGAAATATCAGTGAGACATGAGGCAAGGAAGATCTCCACTGGTCACTCCTCCACTTCCCATCTTGCTCTTTGCCTTCAGAAATCAATTAAAGTGGCCCACGTTTGATAGTCAACAAGTTTAATAACAATAGTTCAAATGCCATAGACATGAAATTGAACAGTTAGGGGAACCAAAAGTACCCAATGTTTGTTGCTTGGTTTAGTAATCAAGAAGTGACATTGGGGAAAGCAGAATGTGATGGGATTGCCTTAATGAAGAAAAAGAAAGGTATTGACTGCACTGATGATCCTCACTAGCTCCTAGGCTTGTGTTGCATTCTTCATCTGGTCAAAAAGTCAGGACTAAATATCCCCAGTTCCTAATCCAATAGCCTCCAATGAACTTTACTCCAGGCCATTGCTCTTCTCCCTGCATGAAAGACCCAGAATGGAGCCCCAGGAATGCCCCATCTTGTCTCTCCATTAGCTCCTAAAGACTTCTTTCTCTGTAGCCACTGTATTGTTTTTTTTTCCAAGAAGTTCATTTAAGGTCAAGAACAAGAACATAGGGATCTCATGAACTTTGGTGCAGTCTACCAAGCCTACAGATATATATTTCTATCACTATATTTCCATGACAAAGACTGTGGGCAGAATAAAGATGGGTTACATTCATAATGGAGAAATTTTGGAAGTATTTGAGAATACTTTGAGAACAGCATAGCTAGTAGAGCAAAATTCCCCAATATCACATATGTTATTTGATGTAGTACTAGAAATGTGAGCTACAACAATAAAACAAGACAAATTAAAGGATGAGCTTTATCAAAGCAGAGGAAAATTTCTGTCTTTTTTTATCATAACATGACGGTATTCTTAGAAAACCTTAGAGAATCAGAGAAAAACTAATCAAGTTAAGAACTTTAGTGAAGTAGTAGGATATAAAATAAACACACATTTTGAAAAATCAGCATTTCTGTGTTACTAATAAAAGCCATGAATCAGTCAGTTAGCCAACAAGCATATATTAAGCACCTATTATGTATCAGGCACTGTGCTAAGTGCTAGAAATACAGGATAAATTAAAGATAATCAACAGAGGGAAGGCACTAGTATAAGGGGTACTGGAAAAGGATTTTTATAGAAATTAAGATTTTAACTGGGACTTTGAAAGAATCCAGGTAAGCCAGAAGGCAAGATGAGGAGGGAGAGAAGTCTAGGAAAAGATAACAAGAGAAATACAATTTAAAATAATGGCATAGTATTTTTGTGGTATAAAATGACAAGAAGCATTGAATTTAATTAACCTATCAAATACACAAGACTGTGTGTAGTACAGTTGAAAATACAATGACTTTGTAATTAGAGGGCCTCTGTTCAAATCCTGCCTCTGATGCTTACTCACCAGTGAGACCTTGGGCAAGTCACTTCTCTCCTTGGTCCTCAGCTTCCTTATTTGTAAAATGTGAAGATCAGACTAGATGGTCTCTGAGGTCCCTTCAAGATCTAGATTTAAGATCCTATGAAACACCCCTACAAGAAAAATTTTTATGGAAATAAAAGAAGACCTAAATAAGTGAAGAGAGATTCAATGTTCATGACTAGGTCATGCAAAATAGCAAAGTTGACATTATATACATTAATTTACATATTCACCATCACACAAATCAGATTACCAAGGCGATACATCATAGCATCAGTCATAATAAAAACAAAATTCACACGGAAGAACAGAAATTCCAAAACATCTATTAAAATAATGGGGATTGGTTACTAGCTCACAAACTGTGTTGTAAAGCAGTAATTATCTTCTCTTTCTTACTGGTCCTCACTGGTATAATTTTGGCATTTAAATACGGGCCTTTTTTTTTTTTCAGAGAAAAGCTTGGGATCGTTAAAAACTCTATGTGATTTCCCAAAAGCAATCTGACTAGAGTTCACATTGAACAAAACCAAACCAAGAAGGTGGATTAGAGAGTATACGGAAGGTGCACATGAGAGACCACATAATTTTAGCGATGTTGAAAGATGGATTTTCAAGATATCTAAAACCAAAGGCTTAGAAAAAAAACCCAGACCTTACTGTTATAAAAAAGGTAAGCAAGAGACTATTAAGTATCATCAACCCAAAAACCTACTTTCCCACCTTTACATAATCTTTTAAAAAAATAAACCATACCTTCACAAGACATTCTTAATGAAGTTACAAGAAGGAAACAAGCAGGCTTTTCCAAACAATATTCATTCAACAGTAGACCGTGTCTTTACATTCATACAGTTTTATAATAGCATTTACATAGTAATTTAAGAATTACAAATTGCCTTGTACACATCTCCTTTGAAAGTCCTGTGTTGTAGGTATTATTGTTATCTCCATATTACAGGGAAGAAAACTGAGTCTGAGAGAGATTAAATAGCTTGCCCAGTGTCACACAACTAGAAAGCATTTGAGACAGCATTCTAACTCTGGTCTTCCTGACCATAAGTCCAGTGTTCTATCCAGTATGCCATGTGACTGTCTAGATGACAATTGAGTGAAAGATTATAGGGAATACAAGATCCACTTTTCTTTTGTTTGTTGGTTATTTTTTAATTTTTTTTTGATTCAGTAAAGCAAATATCTCCTTCAACAAGGTATCTACTATGCATATCAAAATCAGTTAATATTCCTTTAAAAATGAAACAACAGAGACAACTTTGTTCCATGACAATTTGGTTGTTATTATCGAAAGTCTGAACTTGTTTTTCTGATTCATAGTCTTTTGAAGATAAGGTAAAAGATCAAGATCGTAGAAAACAAGATTAGAGCTAGAAGGGGTCTTTAAGATAATTTTGTTCAACACTCTCATTTTATAGTTGAGGAAACTGAGGCATAGAGAAAGCAGTGACTTACCTACAGTTATACAATGAGAAAGTGTAAAATATGAAAACTTCTTGAAGAATTGCAAACTAATAACAATCATATGAAAGATTTCCCAACTCTAATAATAAGAGAAGTACAAATGGAAACAACTCTGAGGTTTCACTTCTCACCCAATAAATTGGTAAAGCTGACAAAAAAGGTAAGTAGCCATTTTGAGAGAGGCTCTAGAAAGACAAACATAGTAGTGTATTATCAGTATAGCTGTGATTTGGTCTAATGTAACCATTCTGGAAAGCACTAAAGAATTATACTATAAAAAAATTTACTAAAATGTCCATACTATTTGATCCAGAGATCCTTTTACTAAGAGCATACCCCAAGAGAGATCAGAGACTGAAAGATCCCATATTTACCAAGATATTTGTAGCAGCACTTTTTGTGGCACCAAAGAACCAAAAACAATGTAAATGCTCCTTAATTATGGACTAACTATACAAATTATGGCACATGAGCATAATGGAATTCTACTGTTCTAAAAAACTGAATAGAAGAATTCAGAGAAGCATGGGATGACTTTTATGAATTGATACTGAATGCCAGGAAAATAATGTATAGAATATTAATAGAAAATTTTTTTAAAAGAAACTAAATTCAGGGTAATAATATTGAACAAGCCTGACTCTGAAGAAAAGATGAGAAAATTTCCTTCCTTTCTTCACAGAAAATAGGCAACATTGCATATAACGTCAGAATTGGTGCATGAGTTGGTTAGTTTTACTGAACTACTTTCTTTTCCATTTTTTTAACTTTTATTTACTTTTATTAGCTTACTAGGTAGAGAAGAAGGGAGGGACATGTTTTTAAAAATGAAGGTGACGTAAACATGAGATAGCCAAAATTTAAAACAAAAACAAGCAAAAAAAACCACATTAGAACTGGGACTCACACCCAGGTCTTCTGATTCCAAATCTAACATTCCTTTAATTACACCAAGTATTTCTCTTTGACTTAATTATTGATAAATTTTGTCTTGACGCAACAAATATCACAGATCTCTCGGAGCTGGTTTGTTTATCCCAGCTTCACCTCACACTGGTAGGTCTGGGACTCCCAAGGAGGAATTATTACTATGACTCAAAATGCCTCAAACATGGTAGTGTAGCTGTGAATTGGTCTACCCATTCTGGAAAGCACTAAGGAATTATGCTAAAGGGTACCTGTTGTGGATGGGGAAAGGGAGAGAAAATACTCCTACTATTTGACATTGTAGCTCTTGAGTTGACGTCATTGTGCTTCAAATTTACACAAAATCTGTCATCATGACACCATTAACTCTTAAATACATTTACTTAACAATAGGCAAAAGCAAGAATAATCTTAATATCATAATTACTCAGTATAAAGCAGATGCAGAAGTAACCAAAACATCATGGTCCACCTATAAACCCAAGTTAAAAGTATATAATATAGTATATAAAAGTAAAAGTATAAAAGGGTATGCTTATAAATGTTTAACTATCTACTCTCCACATGCATGATACACTTTTAAATTTAATCTGAACTATTAACATTTCCTCCATCACTTTCTCAAGTCTAGACGATAAAAAAAAATAATAATAAGTGATGCTCCTATTTGTAGCATTTGCCAATTTCCAAGGTATAAGGGCTCACACTGAAAATTTTAACAATCAGCTTTTGTGAGTCAGTATGAACTGTCTATAGCACAACCCTGGTCATACTCTCCCCTCAACTACCCAGTGTCTGTAGAAGAGACTGAGTACACCCTTTAGAGAAACTGAGTAGGGAAGCATGTGAGCAGTAAAAATCCATGTGCTTAGGACAATTCACAACTCTGGATGGCAAGGCCTTAGTGCTTTCAGCAACAATCTGCACCACAAAAAGCAATTTTTCTACTAGCTGCTCCCTTTCTGGTCCTAACCATTCTGCTGTTAGGTGTATCTAGTTTGCCTCCTTCTTTCCTTCTTCTCTCAAGACAATCTGAAGGAATGACAAGGTTTTTAAGCTAACATCCTCCTCCCTTAAAAGGGTGTGAAAAAGGTGTCATGCTATGTTAATGACTTAATCCAGAGAACCACAACACTCCTCAGGTTGGCTCTTTAGGAAATGCAGATAAAGCCAGCCAGTTCTTTGCTCAATAGGATTCTGCTTTGTCCAGTTGGTTCCAAACCTCTTTTAAAAGTGTTGTTTTCCCTTTGTTTCGAAGATGACCAATGACATCACAAGGGTGATGTCTTGACATACTCATGAATTGGATTTAAGCAAGGCAGAGTTGCACAAAGTTGTCAACCTCATTCTCTCTTCCAGAGTCATTGAAGTCCAGTGGCAAGACAAAAGTCAAGGCAGTGGATGACCACGGCATCTTCTGTGTCTGATCAAGCTCTAAGCCCTCACAGTACCTACTTCAGTCACCTTCATGGCTGTTGGAACAAATTGTTCTCATCTACCTATTTTGCTGGGGGAAATCTTCACCTGCTTGGAATAGACATCTCCCAACTCACCCAGGGTCTGAGGCCTATCAGTCACCCTCAACCTGGTTTAGCCTGTCTGTCTGGGTGGTTTTACCAGAGCGTGTGGCTGCCACACATGCTATAGCTTCTTAGAGACAGAGGTGAGAGTTGGGTCATAGGTGAACACCAAAGATGGATGAACTATCCTGAAAAGGTCTCAGCAAGCCCTCACACCAGAGGTGTGAACACTCTGCATACCCCACACTTCTTAAAGTAAAGCAGATAGGAAGCCTTTCTTTTCCCCTCTATTTCTTCTTCTCAATCCAGTGAGGGCAGTAGACAGCAACTAAGTACTTTCCAGAGTTTTAAAGGCTCTCAAACTGCAGATGGTGCTGGAGGGCAATAAATTCAAATATCAGGAAAATTTAGCTCTTTTCTAACGAACTTTCCAGAAAAGGCTCCAGCCTTCCCTCCTTCCCCTCCCCCTACCCCAGGCAATCATCAAAACCATATATCTCTTTCAATCCTCAGGCTCCCAGCATAACAGCTTAAACTTTACTGCTGGCTTCTTCACACTGCTCTCCTTCACAGCTGGTTTTTTCAGTACTCTCGAAACCTCAGATCAGAGCCTCATGGTGGTCAATGACTCATCTTTTCCTTGTGAGGTAAAACTCACAAAAATTTACCTTTTAAAAAAATAAGATAGGAATTTAATAGTCCTTATTTAATCTTCCCATACTCTTCAGTTATTTCATTTGCAATCTTGTCAGTTTTCACCTCTAGAACTCTAAAAACAGTTACGTGCAAATGATCTGGTAAATTACAATGCCATGATGCTTCAGTAAATTCTTTTCCCATTCTCTGAATAGTTAGTTTTTTCCCTTCACATTTTATCTGTAAAACTCTTTCTTCACAAGCGGATTTTATCAGATTTTCATACATAATCTTTTTTTGAACATTTTAACAACCAAATTGTTCATATACCTCCCATTTACCATGTTTAGATCTTATATGTATATAGCTCTTTGCATGCTACAAAGCAGCTAGATGGCACAGTGGATAGACAGCTGGGCCTAGAGTCAGGAAGACCTGAGTTCAATCCAGCCTCAGATACTTAGTAGCTGTGTGACCCTAGACAAGTCTCTTAACCTCAGTTTCCACATCCAAAAAATGGGAATATATACACAATGAATACCACTGTAAGTTTTTCATCTTTTTTTTTTAAGTTTTTCATCTTAATGAGTAACCAAGTAACCAATAAGCATTTATTTAAAACATACCATGTTCCAGATACTGCTGGGATTACAATGACAAAAATGAAATTGTTGCTGTCTTTGAAGATTTTATAATCTTTCTAGAGGAGACAACATACACATAAATGGATATATACAAAATATACATAAAATAGCTAATATAATTTTAGGGAGGGAGGCACAGGCAGCTGTTGGGAGGGGATCAGGAAAAGGGTCAGATAGAAAGTGGTACTTGCTTGAGTTGAGTCTGGAGGGACACCAGAGCCTCTTAGATGTGGAGGTGAAGACGGAATACGTTGCAGGCATTGAAGACAGTCAGCAGCTAGAGATGGGAGAAAATATGCCCACTTATGAGATCATAGATCTAATGACCCATGGATGTTAAGATGGAAGTGGTAATGTCATGATATTGTTAGTAGATCGCATTAAAATAACATGATTAGCACAAATAATGAATCCTCTGAAGTGGTTGCATTATTCAAATTTACACTGCATATTTCCATTGGGCTGGAATCAATTACCATATTTTACATAGTTATAACTTCAAATAGTGTGAATTAGAATACATGGGACCACTTCAGGAGATTCATTATTTGCACTGATCAGGATCTAGCTATTCTTTTTTCTTTTTAAAGGGTTTGAAACAGCAAAGGAAGGATGAATCCTTTAACCTGATGTTTGCTAAATAAATAAATAATGGGGTGCAGTCAATACAGGATAGAAGGTAATGAGCCAGAAATGATTCATAATGTCGTTTGGAAAGTGGGAATAGTTGAAACAGATAATCTTTATTTCTGAGAAATGAAACAGAAAAAGAGCCAAGCTGTGTAACTTAAAAGCCAAGTTCATTTTCTGCAAAGGCTGAATTCTTTCCTTTCCCTCAGGTTTTTGGATAATTGCAACAACAAAAATGCTCATTTTGAATTGAGTTTGTGGTTTCCATAGAATTCCACAGAATTGCAAAAGGCTACTAGTTATACTACAAACTTTTTACTTTAAGCTTGTCATTCTTTTCCTTGCACACCCGCCACTGCCTTTTCTTTTTGTTGTTGATGTGTGGGTGCAAGCAGAGCATATACTTGGTGAGTTTCTCAGATGACACTTGAGGTGCTGCAGAAGTAACACCAACCTACCTAGTTTGTGTCCCTACTTTCTATAAGCCTACAGAAAACAGTCATACTAATTAATTAATTGAACAGTAACACAGATTTTCTTTATACCTGTCTGCAAGCTGCTCAATCTTGCAAAACCTAGGACTTGGGCGGATTGGGTGAGAAGAAGGTTTGGAGTTTCAAGACCTGGCATAAAATAATACCAACATAAAATAATTACCAATTTGGCTCTTGAATTGCCCACTTTGGGCATATCTCTTCTCATTCATAAGTAATATTAAAATTTTTGCAAACTGGAATTCAAACCTGGTATATTTGCGTGAGACTCTCCTCATTGGTGGAGAGAATGATTTCTCAACACTCCATGACTGCAAGAGAGGTGGAGTTGGTGAGATCTTGGGAGTGGAGAATTGTTCATCTTCAGAGAAGACATGCAAAGTTTTAGGTCACAGGAATGAACCTCATGGATGCAGCCTTGAAGCCACAGGTTCCCCACTCCAGTTCTAGGATTTCTTTAGGGAGAGATCTCTTAGGAGAATGCCTCCCAGACAAAATCTCCCTTGGAGACGAGTGGGAAAGTTTCCAAAGATATTTATTCATGCCTCCCTACAAGCTGCATTTAGCCAAACCCATGTGAATATATGAATAATTTGGAAATCAACTCATTCCTTCCAATGCACAAGTGAAGAAGGCAACTCTTTCTCAGCCCCACAGCTTGTGAAGACAAAGCCATAAATCTTTTTGAAAAGGATGCTTGCTCAACTTTATACTAATCTGACATGGACATGACTGTAGTCAAGAAAATTTATGAAAGACAGGCTAAAAAGCTGCTGGAATTTCTGGAAAACTGAGCAATAACAATAAATAGATAACAACATATATATATATGTGTGTATATATATATATATATATATACATATATATATATATACATATATATATATATATATATGCCTTATGCCTAGACATTACACAAATTTTATTGTACAAGACAAAATAGACAGAAGAATGTTTTCCAACAGTATATGAAAATAGAGTCTTCCTTTAGCTGCTCTTCCCACTTTTCCAAGATGGTGGAAGGATGAGGGGGAAGAGTTATCTTCATGGAATCTTCTTGTCACAAGTCAGGGGACTATATCAACTGGAAGCAAGGATCCTTTGTGGTAAGAGAGTTAGTCATTCATCTGTCTCAGCAAGGGATGTGGTTTTCAAATGCCTCAGAAGCCATTTTATCTCTAGACCTGACTTGCCCCATAGTGTTGACTCCTATTAGGTAGCTTGCATCTCTACTGTAGGTATAGGCCTCAGTTCTCACTGGCACTGCCTCCATCCCTAAATACCACAGGTAAAGACTCTAGCAAGTGCTGCAGTGGCGGTCATACTAGAAGTGTCAATCTGAATGTAATGGCTAACCATTCTCTGTGCCAGCAGGGGTTTTTGGTGCAGGATTCAACATCTACCCCCACCTTTGCCACGTCAGCTATTTCCTTCGTGGATTGTAAAGCTTGGGGCTGGAAGTCTCTTCAAGGGCAAAGACCGGGAAATTGGGGATCTGGGTTTTCTTACTTTCCCCGTTTTCTTGGGTCTCACTGATAGATTCCTATCAAAAAATTTTAGGAGGGGTATACTCTCCTGCTATACTTGTCCATTCTGAAAATGTTATTGTTGTTCATCCTTTATTCTTGAAGAAGACCAGTGACATCAGAAGAGTGATGTCTTGACTTGCAAGTGAATTGGATTTAAGTGAGACAGGGCTGTGCAAAGTCATCAGCCTCACTCACTCCTCCAGAGGTATTTGGAGTCCAGAGACAAGGCATAGGTCAGGAGGACTGGTGTTAGCCATCCCCAGTCTCTATCTTGGAAAAAAGACAAATATGGAGAAAGTAAAGTTTCTCTTGAGCTCCTCTTTTTACCCTCTCTCTTATTGTCTATTCCAAAATTGTCCAAGGTAACAAGGGACCGGATGTACATGGTGCATACAGTTATGATGCATGCTAGCTCATCAGGACCCTCACTAGGCTCCAAACCAGACCTATCTTCCCCTGCCTTCTCTTTCTCTTCTCTTCCAGACCACTCAGGCTTTGTCATTGTCCCAAACCCTGATACCTGTCTATACCATTCTTGAGGAGGTGGAGGAAGCAGCTACTTAATGGATGTGATTTTAGAGGCACTGATGCCCACCTTCCCCTAACTCTCAGCCTTCTGGTGCCAGAAATTTCTCAACTTAAACTTCATTCTTTCGATGAGTGGCTGCTTGACATACTAGAAAGGTCACTGCAGTTAAAAGATTTCACTTCAGCCCTGCCTTTGGTACTTACCACCTGTGTGACCTTGGACAAGTCACTGTCCTTCCGTTTTCTGATCTGTAATATTAGAAGGTTAGACTATATGACATCTAATTACCCTTTTGGCTCTAGCATTTTGTAATTCTGAGTCAGATAATTTTAATTCAATTGTACATCAGTGCGAACAAGATCATTAAAACCTTTCCTAAGAGTAGCTTTGAGTATCACGGGATTTAGGGATAAAAGGGATTATTCTAGAAGTAGTGTCCCAGCCTAGTACAAAAGAGTGACTGAATTTCAGGTCTGGTATAAAAGGACCATGGTGTCATAGGCCTCAGATTGGCTTTTCTTAGTTGACTTCTTCATCTGCCTATTCTGTCTCCCTGAAAGGTTGGCCCCGAATTTGTTCGTTTTTCAGGACTGTCCAACTTCTCATGACCTCATTTGGGGTTTTCTTGGCAAAGATACTTAAAGTCATTTGCCATTTCCTTCTCCAGCTTATTTTACGTGGTGGAAACTGAGGCAAACAGGCCTAAGTGGTCTGAGGTCAGATTTGAACTCCAGGCCCCACTTTCTGTCCACTGTACCACCTAACTGCCCTTGTCCCTGAACAGAGCTAAGGTAATTGGTATAAAAGACTCAGATTTAGTGTTGGGTCCTTACCTCTTACTTTTCAATTTAATATGGACCAGGAATTTTTATGACAATGACCTCAAAGGAGAAAATGCATTTCAAAATAAGGAAATGTGCCAGTTTGAGAGGATTTATCTGGCAATTCTTCCCTCTCATTAAGATAAGACTATCTTATAATCAAACGATCTTGAAGCATAGCTATAAAAATGACAGTTACATAATTAAACCCCATCAGTTTGAAGTACTGATAAGAAATTGCCAAATTCTGAGCTTTGTGTGTGAAGATAAAGATATCATGATCAGCAAAGCTATTGCTGTCAGAAAAAAACAGACAAATAACAATAACAAAACCCAGCAACAAAAACAACTACCTTCTCATTTGCTTTGGCTAGGATAGTTTTAATTTTGGTATTTTTCAGTACAGGACAACAAAATGACTATTGTAGTCAAACTTCATTTAGGAAAACTGCTGCAGTAAATAGTTGCTAGAGTAATCAGTAGCATCACTGTTCTATTATTTATTTGGATTTTCAATTTGTGTAAAGGAAGTAACCTCTATTATACACTTCATCTGCAAAAAAAAAAAAGAAAAAGAAAACTCACTTCTGGTGCAGTTCATTTTTTCAATCCACCAATGAATTGAGAAGCATTTGTTAAATGTCTAATCCATAATAGGCTGCAGGTACAAATACAAAACCAAGACAATTTCTGCCTTCAGGGAGCTCCCATTTTATTAGGACAATAAAACATGGACACAGACAAGTGAATACAACATATATGAAACAATTACTGCTGAGGACACCACCATTCCCTCAGGCTCCCAGGCTCCCAACCTAAGTGTCATCCTAGATTTCTCAATATCTCTCACTCCCTATACCCAATCTGTTTCCAAAGCCTATCAACTTCACCTTTGTAATATCTCTTGATAAGCCTTCTTCTCTCCTTTCATACTGCTGCCATTCTGCTGAAAGCCTTCATGTCTCGCTCCTGGACTACTACAATAACCTGCTGGTTAGTCTACCAGCCACAACTCTCTTCCTAGTCCAGGCCATCCTCCATCCACCATGTCTCTCATACCTAGAATGCTCTCCCTCCTTATTTCCTCCTCCTGGCTACCCTGACTTCCTTCAAATCCCAGCTAAAATCTCTTCTACAGAAGACTTTTTCTAATTCCTCTTAATTCCAGTGCCTTCACTGTAAGTTATTTCCTATTTATCCTGTACATAGCTTTTTTGTACATATTTGTTTGCTTGTTGTTGACTCTATTAGATCGTGAGCTCCACAAGGGCAAAGGCCATCTTTTGCCTTTCTTTGTATCCCTAGTACTTAATCATGGTGCCTGTTACAGAATAGACATTTAATAAATGTTTACTGACTATTGATTTAAAAAATTTTCTAGTTTCCTCATTTATTTTCCAATTTTTTCATCTCATTTAAGGTTTTATTTTCAATCTTACTTCATTTCTTCAGGTCATTCTAGTTTATCTTATGGCCAAACTGTATTTTTCTTTGAGGCTTTGCTTACAGATGTTTTTCTGCCTGTTCTCTTCAGGGTTTGTGCCTTGGATGCAATAGAATGATATTGACAAGTAGAGTGTTTGAATTGTCTGAGGAAATTCATGGCTTGTAGGTCTTCTATAAAAAAAGATTATTTTGGAGCCCAACTTATTGGAAAGATTGAGATTCTAGCAAGTAGCAAGAGGGAGTTCTACTAATCTCCCTAAGAAGTCATTGCCTGGGTGGGGGGCATGTTAGTTTTGGCCAGGGGCAACAGCAGAGGCAACCGAGAAATTCAAAAGATAAAGAGGAGGGAGGAATAATCTAAGTAGAGGGAACTGGGTGAGCAAAAACATGAAAATTGGAGGGTAAACTTTACATTTAAGGGAAAGAGATCATTTTGGTAAAAGCATGGGGAGAAGAAACCTGAGATGTGGCTAGAAGAATAAGAAGATGCCAGACTGTGAAGGCTCTTGAATGCCAAAGAAGTTGGATTTACCATATAAGCCACTTGGCTATTCTGTTTCATGATCTAGGATTGCATCATAACCTTGACCAACAGGAATATAACTATAATGTTGGAGTCCCCTGAAAAATGTTGTAGAGAGCTTCACATTAATTCTATCCAAGTGATAGTTTTTCCTGATTTGTATCCCATTCTGGAAGTCATTGCCATGTGCAAAAGTTAGTCTCCTATTTTTTAAAAATACTACTTATGCTCATACAAAACCTAATACAAATTAATAGCTTGTAATGGGGGACTGGGGCAGT